GGTTAAGATAGCACAGAAAGCCTAATTGGTTAGAAATCGCATAGGATAAATAAAAAGAAAATGATAAAACATCAATATTTCAAGTGAGTAATGGAGGATTTGATTAAATTTCAAAGGTGAATTCATCGTGGATATAGTAAATGAAGCGTAAACTGAAAAGCTAGGATTTGCACTGCTGATGAGACCCAACCAGATCGAAACAGGTGTCCAGTGCTTCCTAGCTTTTCAGTTCATGCTTCATTTGCTATATACACGACGAATTCACCTTTCAAAACATCAATATATTTTTTTGTGAAATGTTTTGGTGCCATCAGAAACACACTGATTTAGCACAAATAAAAGAAAACAAAATAACAAGAGTATAATGAGGGCTTCAAAAACCTCATGCAGGCGATGTTCAGGAGTATTTTACCGTGTTATTCCTATCTCTGTGCTACTCCCCGTTCACTGTCACACTGATGTCTATTAGTGTGTGCTGTTAATACGGCTTTGTTGCTCTGTGATACGCTTATCAAACTCGATTGTTTCTCACCCTTAGTGCAACCCAGTCCGGAGTACACTCACGAGCCTGGTTGTCCACATGCCCCCCTATGCACTTTTCACACTAGAGCACCGAGTAACATGCAAGTCGGTGGGTTTTCGTGTGCCAGAGGTGAAATTATGGCATTTGCGGTGTGACCATTTGGTCTATTTGTTAAATCCAATCTGGTTGAGTTGAAAGTTGCACTTTCTGTTTTCAATCAATCCGATTTTAATTCGAATAATCAGAGCAAAATCCGTTTTCCCTCTGTTTTTCAGCATCATGAGCCGTTACATGAGCCGGTAAGGCCCACAGTGGATACTTTTAATTCAACTTTGATGCTTTTTATGATTATGATTATTATTATCAATAATCTTAAATCAAATCACTAATTTTGAATAGATTCTAACGGTAAGTCTGGCCTATCATCGTCTTAGTCATCCGATAAAATTCAGTAAAATGAAAATAGTTATCCATCACGCAAATCAACATTGAAATTATCTTCATCTAATTCGGTGAAACAGCTGATTTCCAATCTTACAAGGGATGGAATAATGGTACGAATCGGTGCCGTTTTGCATGGCACTGGCGCCTTTATCGCTTTTCTATCCTGGATAGTGGAAAGCAAGAGGGAGAGAGAGAGAGGAAATGCAACTAAGATCACTAACATTTACCCGTCGTACGTGTTAGGATGCATATGCACACTTCGAATCCACAGCAAGTGATGCACCATCTAATTAGATAGAAGCGATTCGATTCAGCAAGCGCAGCTATTCAGATTATCGCATTATGCTCTCGGTTTTGCTTTTTCTCAACTCATTTTGGTATGCAATAGAGGAAGAAAAATCGTACAGCACTATTGGAGTGAAGACGTAGAACATGAGACGGATTCCGTGGATAAGAAAAAATAGGTAGATCCACTGTTTGCCTAGGGCATCACCGATTTTGTTGAATATCAACCCCTCGAGGTGTACAGAGCGATTCCTTAACTTGATTAGGCTCGTCTCATGGAAAGCTCCACAAAATCCCATTTACTATTTTTTCATATCATTTCATCAGGTCATAGTTCGATTACTCCTGGTGTTCTTTTTGTTGCCCAACATAGTAGGTTGAACATTACCCCAAGTAAGTCTCCTAATCCTCGAAATTGAAAATAACAGATGATGCATTAATTTGTACACCACTCGGACGATGCGATGTTCAGCAAATCATGAACCTCGAATAAATTGTGAACTCGAAAGTACGTGGAGCCAGCGATTTTTTGTTCTACAAGTTCAGTCGCATCGATCTTTGTCACAATGTTGTCATTAGGGTCGTGTAGTTTCTATTGTGTGTCAGTCTGAAACCCACCACGTCGTGCTGAGGCCATCGCTTTTGGTTCGCAATCGCTAGTCGGTAGTAGCGAGCTACCACTTGTTCGCATTTATCATCCAGTAAATGTAATCCATTATTCACAATCTAGAACTTACTTGGTAGTCTGTTACCTTTTTATTTGGATTCAGTTTCAGTTTCTATAACCATTAACCATGCACTTTCGTGTGCCGGTTTTGGTTGTTGTCTTTTGGCTGCCTATTTACACGAACATAAGGAGAAAGACAAGATCGAAGAGAAAATTTAGGATTTCTTTGCACTAATTTTGTAGAGGCATCGATAAGATGCACCAACGCCACTGTTTACGACCCCCAGCCATATCACCCAGTATCTCTAACTATCGGGTATAATCATTCCGAGGTCCCCATCCGGGACCTAAGTGACACAGTCTCCTGGTTAGGGTTTTCAAACCCTCATTCCAGGTCTTAGCTTGACCACCCTGGGGTTTATTCCAACCATTACCTGCCTCGGCAAACATCGCTCGCCGTGGAAACCTGTCTGGTGTCATGCGTAACACATGTCCCAAGCAATGTAATCTATGAAGGTCGACCACTTGCTCCAGTGGGCGACCGCATTTACCCAAAAC